GTGAATTAACTCTTCATATTTTGGTTATGGGATTTTTGGAACCTGTATAATATCTTAGGATGCTTGCGCCAGTGAAGTATGAATTTGTTTAGATTGGCTGTTCCAGTTATTATTGCGCAAGGTCACCTTTACATGTCGAGCTATCTTTGTACCGTCCTCGACCATAAGGTAGCACGGCTCCAGGCAGATTTTTTACTAGATGTATCCGGCGTAGCGGTCCTGGCCCTTTCCGCTACGCCGTCCACGCAGAGAAGACGATGACATGTATGGAACTGCCCCGGCCGCTGGCGGCATGGGCCGGGACATTGAAATGGAACGCTCCCGGGGTAATGCATATAATTCGACCATCACCCAGTCAGAAATCTCCAACCTCTCGTATGTATAAAGACGACTCTTCTCTCTCTCTCTCTAGGCTCATTTCCTTCCCGGGACCAGCACCACATCGAAGATATCTCCCAAGCTTTTGCTGACATCCTCGCTCTCAGCGCATTCATCCCGGCGAGAAGTGGCTGGAACCGGAACGATCAACCGCTCTCCCCCATCGACGCCCGCGGTTCTCCCAGTCCCATTGCTGCTATCAATACACAACCTAGAGACATGACACGATCTCCTCCCCGGGGTGCTCATAACCCTACCAGCACCTACTATGAAGACGTAGAGACGCGCTTCACCAATACGTCAAACCCTGATCCTGCATTTATCCCGACTACCCTCACCCCTGGCAGCATTGCCCCTGAACCCGAGCAGAGAACCTCAGTCGATGCTGTGCACGGCCTGCGCTCTCCTGTCAGTGACATCAGCCACTTCACCTCCATCTCCCAGCGTGGAATCAATCCCAAGTGGCAGCCGCCGGAATGGGACAACCCCCGAGAAAAGGTGCAGAAGCAGCGCGACGCTCTTCTAGGCAACAACCCTGACTTCCAGCTCGGTGCCGTTGCTGGCCGGTCCAACTCTGCAAGGCGCGGTGGCAGGATGCCCCAGGTTATCGCAATGCCGCCGATGCCACCAATGCCTGCTATACCGGCAGCGTACACGCGCAGCTAAACAAAACAGCTAGCCTGAGGCTCAGCTCCCCTCTTCCTTCTCTCTATTCCCTTACTTTTTTCCCCATTGTTCCGCTCCTTGTTATCCATACGATATGCATCCCAGGGCCCGAGAGTGTTTATTTTTGTCAGCACTGCTTTCTTCCTCTTTCAACCATTGCCTTCACCTGTACATTTTTCTTGTGGTGTATGTATATTGACCCCACCCATCCCATGGGGTATGCCTCTTCTTCTTCTTCTTCTTCTTCTTCTTCTTTATATCAAACGGCCATGGTCTTGATGGTTTCTTTTGATCAGAACTTGCGCTAGGTGTTTGGAGTTTTCCCCCTCTAGCCTTCTATCTTCATAGGAGTT